AGGATGATGTTGTCTTTGTGGGAGGCGACACAGTTGTGGGTGAACAGGGTGTAGAGGATGGGACTGAGGACACATCCCTGTGGGGTGCCGGTATTTGTGATAATGCTGGCTGAAGTCCTATTGCCAAATGTTCAGCTTTTCTTTCATTGAATAAGCATTTTAGAATCCAAACAATAATGTTAAATTTGAATTTAAAGTTGAATTCTGAGAAAATGTATATAAAATGGTGCACAATACATGTAAAATATTTTACTTTTACACTAAACATCCTATACTGTGGCTCAACTGAACAAGTGGAACAATAAAATGCATAATATACAATACTGAAGATGATTTTAACAGAATTAAAGCTTCATAAGGGGAAACAAAAGGAGAAAATTGTACGCTAAGAAGGTGAGGGATGGACCTTAAAAAATGGCTTGCCTAATGAATTGACTAACTAGGTAGGTTCAACCAGCAACAACAGGCAGCAAAGCCTTGCTAGGTGACACATTCACACTATTAACATCAGGCAAAACAAAGGACTTTAAGATTCTGTTCAATTCAATTCAATTCAGTTGTATTTGCATACCACCAATGCACAGCAAAAATCACCTCAGGGAACTTAGTAAGGTCTAAAGCATCAGGACACAACAAACCGGCTGGTCACTGCTGATCAGAAGCGTAGAGCTCTGGATCCAGGGATACCTGCAAAAAGGTAAAGGGAGAGAGGAGACACACAGTTAGTAACATGTAATGGCGGTATAAGATGCGAGCTACATGGGTTTTTTTGGAAAATGGTAGCCTCTACATCTTCATCTACACTCTCATATCTTCCTCTTGCCATATTTCATTTCTGGGCACTTTCATCTTGTGTGATCACACGTGGTACCTGGATGCTAAGGTGTTGACCCTGTGCGCCCTTCTTACTGTTTCATTCACCTACAACATATTGTGCACATCACCATTCAACATTAATAAGACAGATTGTTTGCAAAATGCAAAATACAGCTTATTATCATAACAAAGGTGTAAATTTGTTTTTGTAATCAACTGAACTGGAGCATGTCAGTCATGTCAAGCACCTGCAGAGAGTGGTAAAGACTGCAGAGAAGATCACCAGGACTCCACTGCCCTCTCTGCAGAGCATTTACCACCGCGGGGTGTGTAGGAAAGCTGCCTCCATCCTCAAAGATCCCACCCACCCCCAGCACGGACTGTTTGCCTCCCTACCCTCTGGCCGGAGGTTCATAAGTGTGAAATGCAGGACCTCTAGACTGAAAAGCTCTTTCTTTCCCTCTGCCATCAGACTCCTAAACAGCTGAGGCGTTTATTACCAGGTTTTATTATACTGCTGCATTTGCTGCTTAAAGTGCCTTAGATTTTGTGTTACTTATTTATCTACTTTATATTTCACTTGTATTTTTGTGGCATTCATGTGGATGGCAAAGTAAGAATTTCATTGTACAGGGAAACACGTTTCCTAACTGTGCACATGACAAATAAACACTTTGACTTAAACAGTCTGAGTTAAGACTGGGTTCTGCTGGTTCAGAGGTATTAAATTAAACTGAGCTTTATGTTACATCAAAATAAATATGGATAATTTGGACCTTGGATAATTCTTACCAGCTTAGTTATATGCATCAGTAAATAAGAAGATTGTTGCATGGCTGCTCACTCTACAAAACACGACCACTTATTCGTCACTAGATGTCCTCATAAAGCCACCGAATATCCTCGACATGAAACGACTGTGCGCTTTGGTTCAGGCTACAGGATGGTTAAGTGTGAATCAGCTTTAACCCTACCTATGGGTCTCCTGCTCTATTTTTTGACACCAGAAACACCATCCACCAGAAGAAAAAAAACGCTACACCTCAATTTGACTTTGTGTGTGTGAGAGAGGATAAGAGTGAGTGTGGTCAGTGTACCGCTCGGGGTGGTGTCTGTCGCGGACTGTCAGCGGTACATCTGTCCTCCTCCTCTTCGTCCTTCATGCTTACTGTAGTCTGATTCAGCACTTCAACACCTACACAACCAAGAATAGACTCAGGACTCATACTGACACAAGAGAGACGAGGAAACAACTTCTGTCCCATCTCGTCATAACATTTCCTAGGATTATATGGCTCGTTGCATATAGGGATCCCCCTGTCAACACGTTGCTCTACTTGTTTCTAACATTTAAAACCTCCATGTGATGTGCTCGCACACAATGTGCTTCCCAGGTTGGGTGCTCCTGCGTCTTCTTTCTGGTTCGTCCTACACACACACACACACACACATACAGCCCCTCTCTAAAACTAACGCACCAGGCTGACAAAAACTGCGTAATCTATATGTATATACATATCCTGAAACTAATTGTTTATCTTATCTGGGAGCAGCTTCTTCACACCTGCGCACAAACCCGAGGCTCATGGCGATAACTGTGCTTGCAGCTGGAGCATCACCTTTATTAAAGCAAGTCCAAAAATTATACATGGAGTTATGCTGGCCTCAATATATAGCTTACTGTAATAGTTTTCCATTCCCTCCGCGGCCCAGAGCCTCTGCTCTCGTTCCAGCTCACTCCAAAGCGTGAGATCATTCATAGCGCACCCCCACCCCCATCTGCGGCGCAGTTCAGTGCGCCCCGCTCATTTGCGTTCAGTTTCGGAAAGCGAGAGGATGGCAGTCATGTAGTGGAACAGATGACTGTGTTCATCGTGAGCAGCAAGGCATAATGGGAAGTGTGAGCTTTTGCATTGTGCGAATAGTAGTCTGATGTAAGAAACTCGATAAATCAATGAAATACGAAACAGCATGAAGCTATCTGGTTGTTCCAGAAACTGGATGCGCGATCCAGAACCCAGCAGTCAGGATAAACTGAGACATTACGCGTAAGAGGTTGCCACAGGCAAGCTCTAGGTTTGACCTCTGTGGAAATCATTTCTGAGACAAACAACTTAGTCGGAATGTATCAATGAGGAATGTGACTGCGCCTGACTCTCTCCAAACGGGGTGGATGAAGCCCTCAGCGGTGTCATGCGTCTTGCCCCGCAGCCAAGCGCGCGACCCTTGCGTCTAATAGTTCTGCTCCTTCTCATCACGGGGGTGGTCGCATCCCCGGCGCTCTCTTCGGGCTGCCCGGACAGGTGCATGTGTGATGACCAGCTGGTGGTTCAATGCGCCGGGCAGCACCTGACCACCTTCCCGGTCAACTTGCCCCTGGCGACGCGGCAGCTCATCATCTCCAACAACCGTATCGTGGAGCTGCCACCGCTCACGCTCAACTACCTCTCCGATCTCGTGTACCTTGACTGCAGCAACAACTCCCTGTCGGAGATATCTGAGTCAACGTTTGGGAATCTACGCAAGCTGGCCTACCTGGACCTCTCCTTCAACCATTTGACCCGAATCGAAGACAGGACGTTCGGCCCCTTGGCGAGTCTGGTGATGCTGAGGATGACGGACAACCCAGGGCTGTCGGAGATTCATCCAGACGCCTTTGCGGAGAACGCGGCCCTCCAGGTTCTGGATGTGAGCCGGAACAACCTGACCGCCCTCAACATCACATCCCTGATCGCGCTGGCCGGTCTGCGCTCTGTGGGGCTCAGCGGGAACCCGTGGAGCTGCGAGTGCATCAACGAGGACCTCTGCCTGTGGGTCCACCTGGAGGGCTTCAAGTTTCAAGGTGTTATGTTATCTATTCTAATTTATTCTGCCATATAAGGTGATATAACATCAATATTACTCCTCAGTCTTGCTCTTTCCTTAATATTAATATGCTCCAGAGGCAGAGCAGCTCTAAGTGTTTTATATTAGCTGCAGACATCTTAGAAATGATTATGAAAGGGAAAGCAGACAACTTAAATAGTCGACTAAGAGTTTATAGAGTGTATATGCTGTAACTAGTGGTGTCATAAATTGTTGATAGGTTATTTACCCATGCTTTATCAGTCACAAGTCGCCTGTTTACCAGTTGGAAAAATCTTTCTAGTTGGGTTATGGGACCTCAGTGCTATAATGACCCCCCCACCCCCCGTTTCTCCCACTTTGGGCAGAACGTGTACACTTCTATGGTAATTTAATTAAACACTTTGATTTTGGACTATGCAACAAATAAGAGCAATACTGAAATAATGATAGCCTTAAAATAACATTTTGTTCCAAGGGCCTTCAAAATTATAGAATGAGTCAGGATCCACCTTGAGGCCCTTTGTCACTTTAGTGCTATATGTATATTTTCATTTTAATTTGCACGAATCAGTTACACAGTAAGACGTGATCATTCAGGGCTACTGGTGTTCAGGGGCCTCAGCCACATTGATAGTTATCCTCCTCCAGCAAAACAGCAGCTAGAATGATTTTTCAAAACCTGGAAACCCCAAAAGTGTTATTATTGATTTATAACTGCTTATTAACAATTCATAAAGCCTAATAAAGGAGGTGCCAATTAAACATACAAAAAGAGGAGGTGATAAAAATCTGTTCAGAATTTTTTGATTGTTAACATCCCCCACTGTATTACATGATAGAGTGTATCATATGCAAAATATGTAACCACAGCTTCATGCGTTTTACTGACGTCTGCAAAGTTCAGCCCTATCTCAGCTTTCAGTGGGATCAGGCACAGGTGACAGCAGTGCAGCGTGTCAGCACTCAGACTATCGAGTAACTAAACCAGTGAAAGAAGATCGGCAGCAGGGAGCCATTTGATTTCTCTCCTGGCAACTGTGTTCATTAATTCAGCCCTGTTTTTTTGCACTTTGAGAGGAAACAGGAGAGTCTTTCCTCTATAAATGGCTCATTTATATTCTATTCAGCTAGTGGGATACTGTGCTGCAGGTGTGAGGAATGCATCAAAGTTGCACCATCTAGTATTGTTCCTCTTTTGTATTGTTCCTGTCAAACTGATAGATGTGTCTAACCTTTTTTTTTTTACTTTGAGTTATTATGCTTATGCTTTGGTGTGGATGTGTCACTATGCACAAGGTCAACTGCTATTTATAGTGTGCTTTACTGAACAAGAAGCCAGTCATAATTCACCACCATAGCTATAATACACTCTTCACACATACTAAGGCGGCATCCTCCTGCCTTCCATACACACACATATACACACACACACACACACACACAACACACACACACACACACACACTCCTGTTCACAGTGGTCCTTGTGAACTTAGTCCAAATCCAGAACAAATCTTGCTGTCCTGTTTTCCTGCTGCTCACTGCCTTTTATCCATAAGTTGGAGTAGAGCCTCTTCCAGTGACAGCTGCCAGCATGGGAGAGGGCACACACATTCTCTTTTGGGTATACACAGACTAGTCATGTCTTTCATGACAGACAATATACTTGATTTTCTTATAAACGGAGCACTTTGTTTTTTTAAACTATGCAGAAGCTCTCACCTATGTGGGCACACACGCATACAAGCCCACAAATACTCACTGATTCATCTATTTAGACATCAACATTTTGGAGATTGCTGTGCTTTGGCTGCAGGCTCTGTCTTCGCAGCCTAGTTCTTTCTTGTCTGGGTCACACCTAATTCATGCAACATGGCTCGCATGTCTGGTTGGTTTAGGAAATGCATCAATAGCAAACAAGTGAGCGAGTGAGAGAGAGAGCGCTTCATGAAGGAACCAACAGATTCTCCTCAGTCTCGCCTTTCTGGCTAGATTAGTAGTCTCTCAGCTGTTATATAAAGGGCCCATCTAGAAATAGAGCAGAGTGTGGATGAGGGAATGGGAGAGGGAAAGCCCTCTTCTATGCTTCTTCTATGCCAGTGCTTTGTGGGGGGGTGAAGCCAGAGGGGTTTCCTTCCACATACACACACACATCACAGCTGTACATGCACACATTATTAGACAATGCAATGACAGAGACAGAAGATAAGAAGGTTAAGTCTCATGGAGAGCATTTGTGCATGCATATATGGTAAGATGGAGTGTGCATGTGTGTCTGCATACATGAATGTGTGTGTTTGTTGCAGCACACTGTGTGAACAGTGCTCAGCAGCAGCCTTTGACAGGATCACAGCAGGCTTTGAATTCTTCAGCTGAATGCTCGTTTCAGCTCTGTGAACAACACAAGAGCTTCCATTAGGATAAGAACAGAGATGTATGACAGAGTGGATAAAAAATGAGGAAAATATGCATTTGAGGCAGTCTATGAAATGAACTTGTCAAGTGATTTGATTGAAAGCTACAGTATGATCTCACTGACCTGCTGTCAAATCACACCTCCCACCAACCTGAGTCAGTTATATCACCACATGTTGCCACAAAGAGGCTGTGTAAACTATTTGGCAACATAGAAGAGGAGTTAAAACAGCTGAAACTGATGGATAAATGGTTTCAACAGGGAAATAGCTGAAAAAATAACAGATAAACAGTTTATATATTTAATTAAACATAATGGATAAACAGGAGAAACTGCTAAAAGTATTAGAAATACGGTTGAATTACTTAGCCAAAATCAGTGTATACACTGAAATAAGTAGGTTAGCTAAAACCTAAGCTAAACCCAGCTAAAAAGCAATGGATGAAGAGTTGAAACTGTTAGCTAAAAGTATTGGATAAACAATTAAAAAGTGCCCACTCCTGCCACTTCCAGTATTGTGGCAGGAACTTGAACTATTGGACCTAAACACTGACCATTTAGTTGTATGAAAAAATGAAACACAGAATACCAATTTTTGTCAAATACATCATATGTATAATCAGTTAAAATGAGTAGGTATATGTTTGGAACCTAATGGGTGTCAATAAAACAGTGCTTGAGTTTCTTAATTGAAGATACGGGGTTATTCCAGAGCTGCAGCATTAGCACAGGTTTTTCAGGTAAAATACACTTTTATTGTGTGATGGTCTACATTTTCCCAGTATCTTGTACAAAGTCAAACCAGTATGTCTCCATGCAGAATTCACATTTTTACAGATTCCAGAGCAAACTACAACAGCAAAATGGAAATGTCTATTTTCAGACTTTTGGTGTAGTAATAGGGTTAGAGAAAACTATTCCCTGTGCAGAAACTTGCAGAAGTCTTTTGAGCTCCCCCAGTGGGAATCCCCCCTAGGACAAAAGCTTAAAAAAGCAGAAGCCAATTAAAATAGTGGCTGTATGGAGATGACAGCATTCTGTCTGTGCTCACAGTAAAAAGCTTCAGGATTATTTTCTGAAAATGTTTCTCTTGTCAGCTGCTGCAGAGCTCAACCTCCATCACATGGTGTGTTTAATACTGACTGATAGGCCTTTGAAATTTCAACCATCTACTGTTGTTTTCTGAAAGAGGAATGTCTAACACTTTTAGTAAGATTTGTATATTTCAGCAAGTTCTTAGTCATGGTCATGCCCGGTGCCTGATGATGTCAAACTTTATTATCTGTAGTTTCAGGCTGACCCAAAGGCCCAAGTCATTCTCGAATCCTGTTGGAGAGAAAGGAATTTGAATAATTATTCCATGGCTCTTTTTTTTTAAATTTAATTCTGCATATTCCCATGAATATGGGATGTTATAGAAAAACACTTTCCCAACTTTTCAGGGGTTTTAAAATGAATTACTGTATGTGTGCATGTTGTTTTGATATAACAGAGACAACATAGTTTTACTTCCTACTGGCACAGTTATGTGTATTCAGAATGTCACTGTCCTGTGACTCACCTGACAAAGAGAAGAAGAAATGCAAACCTGTGCCTTCAGCACAGAATAAGATGGCTCAGTAGTCTGGATGATGCTACTCCAGGACAGCTGACCTGTTTACTGTGTGTTGTTTGTTTCCTCAACCCTGGATATTTGATATAGAAGAAAGGAGGGAAATGGAGTGTTAAAAAGTTTACATTGTGTTTCCTAACAACAATGTTTTGTCCTGTGATTAATCCTCATCATTCCTTTCTGGTGTGTGTCTGCATAACAGATGAAGGCCAGACGGTGTGTGGCTCACCCGCTGACATGCAAGGCCGTCGTCTGAGTGAGGTGGGCATCCAGTTACGGACGTTATGCCACCAGACTCTGGGTTCCTGGGACTACCTTTTCTTTGTTGTCATTGGCTTTGTCATCTTTGCTGCTGGCACTGTGTCAGCCTGGGTGATGGGTGTCATAATGGTGCTCTATGAGCGCTACATCAAGAAGAAAGGTGAACAACAGGATGTGGACGACGAGGAAGAACCCAGCTCCAAGGGCTGGACCTCACGGGCCAGGAACAGCCACGGCAATGGGAATTTAAAAACCTCACATACTGTGTAAAAGATGAATCCTACCCTGCCCACATGGATTCCCACAGTGCCTCCTGTCAATATCTAGGACTTTGCTGCCCACTCCAGTCAAACTGAGTCTGTTTAACTTGCCCTTCTCAGAAAGAGAAAAGAGAGGATTCAGCAGTGTGTGGAAATGTCATGCCACTCATTTATACTTATTTCAGCTTTCAGGTGATGTAACACACTCTCTGGCTGCTATTGTGGAAGTCCCCATTACTTGGGCATGCAAATTTATGACTTTATATACGATTAGATTCTGTTTGACTGGGAAATTGTCATACCTGCTGACAAAGCAGCCTGTTTCAGTAAAGCTGGTTATCTTGGAAGCAGCTACCTTGGCTCTGTCATGAGGTAACAAAATCTGTGTACCAACACCTCCAGGCTTCTCAAATTATATGCTTTTTGTTTTCTTGGTAGGGAACAAGCAACTTCCTGGAGTCAGCTCCTCCCAGGCAACAAATAGTCTGCACACAACCCCCAACAAAACAGTGAACTGTCCCTTTAATTCTTCTTCTTTTATTCTATTGTTCTTTTATTCTTCTTATTCAGTTGTTGTATAAATAAAACAAATGGTATGTATGTTAAATAGTGAGCTTTAGTTTTATTTTAGGTCATTTTGTTAACTTTGGACAGAGCCATGCTATCTTTTTCCAGTCTGTATGCTAAGATTAGCTAAGCTAACCAGCTGCTGGCTGAAGCCTCATATTTAACTGACAGATCTGAGAGCATCATCAATCTTCACATCAAACTCTTGGCAAGAGAGTAAATAAGAGTGTTTCCCATAATGTGAAAGTTTCCTTTAACCACAATCTGGGTCAAAGTAAGAGCAGCAAAGGAGCAGCAGTGCTTAATAAGGTCCTGCTCAGACCATCAACTGGGCTTTTCACACACCTATTTTGAGCTTTACTTACTATATTTGGTAAAAGCCACTGTTACTTTTTGTACCCATATAGTAGGCTATTTCCAAAATTAGCACCGGCAGGATAAGACCAGAATCAAAAGACAAGGACTGTTTTTCCCAAGGCTGGAAAACTAGTCAACCATATTATGCTATTTTTCCTATGTGTAATATTACGAAATGGATACAGCTGCTATGTGACGATCTATTTCTAGACCCTGCTTACACAGCATTGCTTGCACACAAACAAATTTTCCTCCATGCATAGTCACAAAATTGACACAGCTTCACAGCCTCTACATACGTAACATTGAAAACAGTGGTATTTCTATAGACAGGTATGAAAAGAGAGGATCACATGCTTTTGTGCAGTGTGTTTATGCCTGTGCAGATGTGTGAAAAATGTACAAATGCAATGCCCTACCTGCAGCCACAGAGGTGTCTGATATAGCTCTATGAGTGACTGAGCTTTTGCACATAAGAGTTTGTCAATCTGCTTCAGAAGAGCAGCAAGTTGAGAGTCAGAATGTTCCGGCTGCTGAGGTCTGTTTGAGCAAGTAAACAGGAGCAGGATAATTGACTTCATCCTTTCTTTGTTGGGCTACTGGTTTGAGTGCAGCGTCCTGTCTGTTTCTGCCTGCACTGTTGATGCACCCCAAAGTCTTATGTGTGTGTGTGTGTGTGTGTGTTAATCTTTGTGATTGACTAGTTAATTGAAATAAGCAAGGAAACTGAATTTTCCACAATTTACAAAAGACCCTAAATATATTATGTCAAGTGTTTTGTGAAAAATGTGGAAACATTTAAATGTATTAGTAAGTGGATTACAGTCATATTTGTTTTTGAATTGATTTATGCAGGGAATGTCATGGTTGGTACAGTGGTCAGAACTGTAGCCTCACAACAAGAAGGTTGTGGGTGTGAATCTCTTGGCCGACCGGGGCCTGTCTGTGTGGAGTTTGCATGTTCTCCTTTGTGCCTGCGTGGGTTTCCCCCCGGGTACTCCAGCTTCCTCCCACAGTCCAAAAACATGCAGGCTAGGTTGAATGGTGACCGCTGGTGTGAGTGTGGAAGGCTGTCTGTCTCTGTGTGTCAGCCCTGTGATAGACTGGTGACATGTTCAGGATGGATGGATGATTTCTTCAGCCTAGACCCTGTCCTGACAATTTCACAGCAGTAAGACGGGTACTGCTATCAGGAAGAACAGCAGTTTCATTTCAGCCCACACTGGCAAATATCACTAAACTATGAGATCAATGTCTATTGTGTTTGAGGTTTTGCCTCCAGTTTTCAACATCCTAGATCATAAACCCAGCTCACAATCGTATCCTTTTTGCTTAGAGTTATCTCACTGTCCCGCTTCATTCACCCCAACATCGACTGTTATTAGCTTAGGAAGGAGCAGGAGGGAACCACATTCTTGTTGGGAAAATCAATAGGTGGTTACTCCAGTATGTTCTCCTCTGTGTTGAACTTTGCAAAGTAAAAGAGATCTTTTTCACTGAAAACAGTTTCACATGTTACAGTGAGAAAAGCACAGGTGTAAATGGTAAAACTGATGGTGTCTGAATTCCATGCAGCTACTTTAGTTTCGGGGTCCTAGTATTGTGCATGCTGGCTCACTGTCACATAAACATGGCTTGCTTGGACACCTGAAAAGAATCTTCATTATACGTGTGCTTTTTCAACTACAAGTCAAAATGTTTGACCTTACAAGCATCTGTTATGTTGGTATTATGTGATTTTGCCCATTAAACTGTGCACACTTGGTTGTGAGAAGTGAGGCAGTAGCAGTGCTACCAAATGTAACTGTGAAGAACTGGATTTTTCAGCATGTGGTCTATGTATCAGAATGGTCATTCTGCAATCCACTTTTGTCTTTCTGTAATGTCATCTGCAGTGCTGCTGAGAAACCTTTCCTCACATTATTTACCAGCACTCACATTTGCATATTAGGGAGATTTGTCCAAAATGAGCTAACTGGCAAAACTAATGCAGCAACAGTACAATAATAATACACCATTGTACACCACTGATATAAAATGCTGGGGAATGAACCTTGTGTGTGCGCATTACGTGTGTGTTTGTGTACACTCTGTCATCATATAAAGGAGTGATTGTGACTTATAGCAGTATGAATATCTAAGCATGTACAGATGTACTGACCTAAGCAGACTTACTGGTACAGCATATGTAACGCGATGCCAACAGTGTCGATCCAAGGTAGTGACTCATGTACTGTACCAGTAAGTTGCCTCTGAACATCTCAACCACTGGTTGCTCTCATGTACTGTTTCCTACAGTATATACAAAATGCATTGCATCATACAGTATGCATGTCTACCAAGGTGTGTGTATTAAACTCTCATTTTTATCTATATAAGACACATGCATATACCATATCTCGGCTACGAGGGTGTTTTACATTCTGCTAAGCAAACTGATTAAGCCGTGTGATGCCATAGGCAAGGGTGAGGGTGCAGCCTGGAAACAGGAGAGCTGGCTGCTCTAATTCATGTCAGCACAGTGACACAGATGGAATAACAAGGAATAGCCACATCTCCATTGCTTAATAAAGATGTATGTAGGTGCTGCTCTTTTGTAGGCCACCACCTGGCTTTGAAAACTGATTGTTCCATGGAGGTCTTGTATCACAGCCAAATATGCTGTTAACAGCATATACTAAATGATGTACAGTACTAAGTGGATGGGCTGAATTGCACTATCCTGCACTTTTTACACCCCCACATTGCACACTCACCCCATATTTAGGCTCATGTATGCATGTGCTCAGACACACAGACAATAGCTTCAGTTCTGCCTCTGACTCCAACTCAGATCATCTCTTATTACAGCCACTGTGTAAAACATTAGAATAAGTGCTCTATGTTCACAAAACACTACATTACAGGCACTAACCAAAATGGCATCATCATGGCCACATCATCTAAACAACAAAATCAAACATTTGTAAGAGTTAGGAATTTGGGGAAATATTAGCTTTCATGCTGAGACCAAGGTGAGAAGACCAATACCAGTCTTTATACTAAGCTAAGCTGAGCGGCTACTGACTGTAGCTTTGTATTAAGCACACGAGACAGGCATCGATCTTCTCTACCTCAACAAGAAAACAAATAACTGTATTTCCCATAATGCTGAACTACTCCTTATAGTTGACATATGGTACTAATGGGGATATCAATGTGCTTGAGAATGAACGTTTGTTTGTTTCTATGTGTCCTGTCATTAATCAGCCAGGCAGAGATAACAATGGTCAGGATGTGCTTCAGGACAGAGCTGCACTCAGCTGGCTATGGTCACTTCAACAGCGTAGCTGTGACTGTGAGCCAATTCAGTTAACTGATGAGGAAATGCAAACAGCTTTTGGACACAGACGCTCCTACAGTCTTATTTCCTTCCTCAGCTCATATGTTTTTGACCCGTTGTGGTTATCTACTGAGCTGAAGGGAACTGGCTACTGTAAATTGTCCACAGATGGGAGATGTGACATCAAGGATAAGCGGCTCTAGCCAACCGTAACAGGCCTCTGACACAGCTATATTAAACAAACATGCTGACTCACATACATACACAGGCACAAACAAGCAAAATGGGAAAAACTCCTTTAGTCATGGAGCAGTGGACGACTCACCCTAAAGTTGGAAAAGAGGATATGTTTGCGGTGACTGGTGCTTGGAAACTGGATGACTGTATTTCAGTTATTTCATAAACATTTCATCATTAATCACTGGCTCAGATGAACGACAGCATCAAATTGCACCAGTGACAGCACCCCGTACTGCTGCACTAAGCTGCAACATGACAGGCACTGGAGCCGAGACATGAAAGAACTGCTGTGACTTATATTAAGTTAAATATATTTCTGATGCTTACAACTGTAAACATATAAACTGTGTATAATGAGTACTCCTGTTTTGTACTCATGCTTTAACGATCTGTCATTTCATATTTAGACCATAGTGAAGCGCAGAGAAGGGGAAACACATACAAAACACCTGGGTTTCATTATGAACTTTTCAGTTTTCTTCAGCTTCATTTCTCTCTCTCTCATTATCACCATAAGTTTTCTGTCAGCTGGGGTTTATTTCAAATTGCTGAAATATTAGTTCAATCTTGTGTTACATTTTCAGTTGGACTTGATATTGACAAGCACTGCTTAGCCCTCCACTGGGAATGTGGCTATTGGTTGATGGTAAGTAAGCCCCTGTTCCCACTGGCAGAGAGGAGGATGCTGTTACATATCTACACACAGGCTCAGGGGCCTGCCAACTCTCTATCCTTCCCCAGAAATAAAAGGTTATTTGAGAAGAGACGGTGTCCTTTTATGCATCACAATTATGCAAGTTTTTTTTTTAACTTTGTCTTGTTGTTGCAACCTTTTCCTGCTCTTTGAATGTACTTTCTCCATCTTTTGCTGTCTGGGTATTTCGAAGGTTAACGGGTGTCTAATTAGCATCCAAGTCAAAAGCCTGTATGCTGCCCTTATGGTCTACACTGGGCCCTTGTTAGCTCACACACAGAGCAGCACAGATACACATACTGTAAGAACTGCAGAAACTGCCCGACACAAGTTAAAAGCCATACACATATGCATACATCGTCGCAGTTGGAGATGTGTTGCATTGTACTGTACATGAGTGTATTCTGGGTGCCCAGACTGGTTCACAGCTGTGTTAATCCAGTAGAGCTGGCTGCACAAGATAACACTCACACTAAGCTCTAACTCAAAAGCAGCACAGTTATATTTCTGAGATGGGGAATCTTCAGATTGGTCATTGGCATTTTTGCACAAACAATCTTGAAGCATGGAAAGGTCTCTACTATCTGTTGACTCACTCTATTCCTCATATCTGTGGCACATCTCTCTTTAGCACACCCTTGCTGTATTTAACTCATCTAAAGATATTTTTGTTCATAAGTCCTTCGTGGAACCAGTCAGTTTCTAGCTTTTTGTCAGTGCCCATCTTCTTCTCCTAACAGAATAGTTCACTATGCTGGGAAATATGGATATTTGCATAGTTAGATGAGGAGCGTAACAGCACTGTTGACAGGACTGTATGTAAAAATGAAGCTGCCACCGACAGCTAGTTAACTTAGTTCAGAATAGAAAAACTAGCTAATCTGGCTCTGTTCAAAGGTAACCAAATCTGCCTTACAAGCACTTATTTAACTTGTACAAAATACCAAAGTGCAAAATGTTAATTCTGCATTTAAAGCCATCCCAGACTACAATAACCATCATCCCATTGTTTTTACAACACATGAATGCAGAAATCACATGAACTGTATAAAATATGGTTTTCATTAGTGAAGGGAAAGACATTTTCTCAGAATGATACTCTGATGAAGACTGATTTAGTTTAACATGTTTTTATTACACAGTGTGCGTATTGGACATTAATAAAACAGTTAGCTCATTCAGCTGGTTTGGTTTTGAGATCAGTTTGTGTTCTGGTATAAGAATGATGAGTAGCTCTCAGACATGGGTGGATTATGAGAAAATGAGGCCCTGGGCACCAACAGGTAAAAGGCCCTAACCCCTCCTGGCACCCAGACTGAAAAACACACAAAACAACAAAAATAATGCAAAACCAATGTGGTAGTTTTTTGTTTTTTTTACTTTTTGAGCTCATTTTTTCTCTCTTTGGGGATGCTTTGAGTCTGCTTGTGTAGTTATCTTGTATAAATCAAGAAATATTTCAAACAATAAATATTAACTTTGTACAAAGTGTGAAGTCCCAGACTTCTCTCGAGTCCAGATAGTGGAAAGACACCAAATATCATAATGCACTATTACCTTTTATTGCAGATATATCTGGAGATCATACAGCAAGCAGCAGAGCAGATGATCTGAAGTGAAATTACCAAAACTGTGTGTTATATTCTATTCCTCCCCCTCCCCTACACATTCCTACACATTCCTCCATTATGCAGCTGGAATTGATCATTACTTTCCCAAAGAAAACTCCCTTGTATGGGAGCTGTATCAAGTACAACTCCCTTTTGCTAGCAGCATGTCTAGAGCTATTCTGTTCTGAACAGCCATAAGGGAAGTGGGGGCCAATTGCTCAGAGAGGCCTTCCACAGCATCTCTTGTAAGATTGGCGAGACGCAGTACTGTACATTGTAGTGAACATAGTTAATGCGGTCAACATTCTTATTAGGGGTGACAGGAAACAAAGCCGCTATAATTGGAACGTTTTCAAAACCTGCAGCTATTTGATCAGCTAATTTATATTCATCTGGAACCCCACGCGGAACCCCAATGGCGTCTATGTAGGTGGGGGAGTTCAGAGTCAGGAGCCCCAGAACCCACCACTTACCATACCAAAACATGTTGCCTTTGTCTTTGGAGGATAAGCTAACTCACCAGAATACAAACAAACAACCTTGATTCAATATTACAGAAGCCCAATGGTGCACAAAATAATGTGATAAAGTTCTGGAGAGCCTGTCGTCTACTTCTCTTCCTGGTATGTCATCTTCAACACAATCAGGGTAGACTACCTGTGTGTCTCACAGGTGAGGGGATTATTCTGCCCCTTTTCCCACCTGTTCTAGATCTGCATGCCGGGGCACACTGGCGCCAGTGGTACCACGTCTCTCCTTTGCCCTGCAGGTGGACGGCATGTGACGTCCTCTCAAATACCTTGTAGGGTCCAGTCCACCGTGGCTCACTCCACTTCCGTTTTATCACTTTCAACAGGACCCAATCAGCCGTATGTGGATCAGTATGGGCGCTAGGAGATGTGGGGACAGTAGCTAGACTGGTGAAGCTGTGAACAAGAGATTTTAATTGTTCATATAATTGTTGGGTGTTGCGTGTGTCTGGCTTACCTGGAACCCATGATAGCTTAGATGCTGGTCCTGGGAACTGCCTGCCAGTAGTGAGCTCATACAGGGTGAACCCAGTTGAGGAGTTCACAGACTGCCTTACTGACATGAGGGCCAGTGGGAGAGCATCTACCCAATTCAGTTTGGTCTGTGCACAGATTTTAGCCAATTTTTGTTTGAGGGTGGAGTTTATTCGCTCTACTTTCCCTTGTGACTGGGGGTGATAAACACTCCCAAATCCATGTTTCAGCCCTAGAGCTGCTTCCACCTCTTGCAAGTCTTTGTTTCTGAAGTGAGTACCATTGTCTGACCTGATTTTTTCAGGAAATCCGTGCCGTGGAATATAGTCGTTGATGAGGTGTTTGATCACGGTCTTGCTGTCCTCCCTTTTAGCTGGCCACGCCTCTGGCCAGCCAGTAAGTCTATCTACATACACCAAGAGATATCTCATACCCCTCACCACTGCCCATCCAGATTGCAGGCTGCCATCAATGTCTCTAAAACAACAACCATCTGTAAACAACCGCCACTCGTTGCCATCTAAAGGAGTGGCAC